TCTTTCTTGGTTACTGAAGGAGGCATGCCTGACATTAAGCAAGATATCACTTCGCACTCATCCACCCACCAAAAAAATGTCCAATCCATGCAGTGACCAGGAGGACATGGGGGCTGCCAGATCCTCATGCCCCTTGGAAACGAAATGGATGGCTGAACTGAACTTGGAGGAAAGATCCGTTCATCCCTGGTGGTCGCTGGGAGTGGGGCAGAGGAGTGATCCTGAGGAGATTCCAGCCGACGCTGGCGACCTGAGGCTGCCTGGCAGGAAGCCAAACAAGAGGACCTCATGATGTCCCATGCTATGAAACTTGTTCAAGAGGAATGGGAGAAATGCCATTTCCATGAGATCCGTGCTGAGAGGGAAGCTGATTTTGCTGATCAAGAAGAGAGATGGACAGAGGACCTGTCTAACCCTGGGGGGGCCCTGGGGGCAGACAGAAACGCTGATCAGGATGGGAGAGCCGCCGCTGCAGCAGCCATCCGAGCCCTCCAAGGGGGGGAGGGGTCCCCTGCAGACGCCGAATGCCAAACGTTCCTCCCTTGGTGTGAAATTCAGAGGAGACCCTAAAGAGCTGGAATTTTTCCTGGTCCAGGTCTGGAATTACATGCAACAGTATGAGGAGGATTTTCCTAATGAGGAAGCCAAGGTGAGAGCTGCTACCATGGCATTGGAGAACAAAGCGGCAGCCTGGATGGCCACTTTGCATAATGATGACTCCCCCCTGCTGAGGAACTACAATGTGTTTATGGCCTCCCTGAGGAAGTGCTTTGATGACCCTCTGGCCGAGCGTAAAGCGAGAACTAGGATTAAGACTCTTACTCAGGGAAGAAGTCCAGTGGCTGAGTACATCCAAGAATTGTGCCAGGAAAACACCAAAAGAACAACAGTTTTCCCCCAAAAGATTGCAGATGAAGCCAGTTTTCCCCCCAACCCTAAGGACAGGAAAGACAAAGCCACTGGAATAAAAACCATCAAGGCATTGTGGGAAGTATAAAGGACAGGAAGCTCACAGAACCAGAAACCACAGAAAACAGTGGTTTCTCCCTTTAAAAAACACCAGACAAAAATACCAGCTGAAAGGTAAATTTTAAGTACACCCATTAAGACAAAGGCTAAAAATAGCTCACCTAGAACTCCCCTTTTCCTATTTCCTGTCAGAACTAACCTCCAGGATAGGAAAGACAAAAGACCTGGGATCAAGATTAACCCAGGAAAACAAAATCAGAGCAATCAGAAACCGTCAAAACCCATCAGGCTGCAGGAGCTCACAAAGCAGCACACAGCTCAACATATGAAAGCAGCCATGGAGTCACATAAAAGTAGATGTGATGTGAAGTCGATGTGATGGATGCAGGCAGCAGGCAGGTAAGCTGTACTGGAGGGACACAGGGACAACCCAGTCAGCTAGGCCTGCCTGGTATGGAACTGAGGCGGCTTAGCCAGTCAGGCAAGGCTGAGGACTTGGGGGGGGGGCAGAAAGAAAGGCCTCAGGTGAGCGCCAGCTGGCTATGCGTTCTATGCAAGCCTGGGGCAGGCAGGGGAGGGACCATACTGGTACGGGGTCTCCAATTCCCCTGGTACACAAATGGATGCCCAATTTCCGCTACCAGTAAGCGTGTACCTGGCTGTACCAGTCGGAACCCTCCACTGCTTGCAACTGTAGGTGAAACACAGCAAATCTGTCTTTGTTGCATTTTCTCTATAGCAGCACCAGAATTGCTGAATTTATAACATTAATTGGCTCAGCATGTGAACAATATCAGAAGAAATATGGCATTCTGAAAACACAAAATGACAGCATACTACTGTTGTATATAAAAGAGCCTGTAGAAGTCAGATGGATAAATTAGCTTGAATGAAACATATACTTTTAATAATAGAGGTACTTTGTCTACACTCATGAGTTTGGTTAACTAAAGGTTATCTACCTTACAATCAATACATTGAAAGAAGTGCTTGATATGTATGGTAGAAATAGAAGCTTTGTGTATTTTCTTGACTATTGAGTCTCAGCATCGACAATTCCCTTTCTAAGTTCTTCTAGAAGGATTGGTAACTTATTTATGGATTAAGGGTTTCATTTCCCTTTCAGGAGCCATATACAACAGTGATGGCAGTGCTCTTTGTACCATGATGGCAAAAATATCAGCAGTCATGTTCATCACGTCACATCTTCTTATCAATAGCCCAGGGGTGGATTGCTGCCAGCATTACTGCTGGTTTGGTGTGCATGCAATTTTGTGCGCACGGCCTCACTTCGCTCACATGTACACCTGACACGTGCTCTGTGCATGTGCGCAGTTGCCCATAAATAGATCTGTGCATGTGCGGAACATTAAAAAATGGGGGGGAAAACATGCTGAGCCAACCGAGGAACCGATTCGGAGGCATGACAGGCATGGGTCACTGCCGGTTCCAGCGACCCAGGCTGGCAAATCACTACCGGTTTGGGCGAACTGGTCTGAACAGGTAGGAATCCACCTCTGCAATAGCCCCTTGTTGTACCCTTCATTTCTTAAACTTGCTGTGACCTTGCTCATTCAAACAGCATGGACATACCCAAAAAGTGGTCCTAAAATAGTGACCATTGGCAGAAAAGTAAATGGAGGAAATAGAACCAAAACATGAAACAGTACAATTTAGAAAAGTAAATATGCAATGATTTTTTTTAAGTTAGTGTATTTAATATTTGCAGAAGGAGCAGAATAATCTCTTATGTGGTTTTGCTACTGTATTGATGTTTATGATGCCTTAATTAATTATTTCCCCAATGATACAGGAACAGCAATTGAGATAAATAACATGTCATACTTCTCTGGTGTCTTCTAGGTCTGGCAGACACATGGATTACCCAGTGGTCAGGCTGATGGAGGTGACAGATATTATAGCCAACAGAACTAAAGAGAACCACATGAGAAAATCTTTACTTATACTATACTTACTATAAGAAATAATGGGATTTTAAAACAAAAAATAATATTTAGTCATTGGGATAATTGAATTATCATGAACTAACAAAGATTAACATTTTTAAGCTGCATACCAAAACAAGGAATAAATCTTTCAGCTTTTGGCACATCTTTTTTCATTGTTTTTCTACTCAAAAGGGAGTAAATAATTCTGATTCCAGGTTTTGAAATTATTTTGCAAATGTAGAAGGAAAATGAAAGAATCTAGCATGGGTTAGGCTAAGAATCTAAGAATTTTGGACCACTGTAAAATGAGCATTTGGTCTGTTAATAGCAAGAATGTACACAGTTTCACCATATTCCCACAAACAATTACATTCTCTTTAATGGGAGAGAATAGCTTTAGATTTTATTATCAGTACCCAACACCCCCCCCCCCCGGAAGTTTGTGCTGCTATATTTAAGCCAGCAGAGGGCAGTGGAATACAAACTCAGAAATGAGAGACTGCTTCAGAATAACTTATTTGTGACTGCCCATTTTTGTGTGTGTGTGTGTGTGTGTGTGTGTGTGTGTGTNGCATGGTATTTGGGATGGGAATAAATGGTACTGGAGGTGATATGGCAAAGGGAGTTTTCTTCTCACTATCTTCTGCACATGCTGATGGTCGGTGTTTGGACCTGGTCAAGGCCAACTGTCCTGATGATGCTGTCTGAAGATGCAACCCATATGACACTTTAAGGAGTTGCAGATTGGACACTGGGGTGGGGGTCGTTAGAGGGGGGGTTGGGTAATTGTTTGATATGCATGTGTTCGCGCCTTTCTGACTCAGATCTTGCTTTACTTTCACTGCTATCGTTTCATAACCAGTAAAAGTACTTTTTAATTCCACAAACAATGGAGTTGGGAGTTTTCTTTCTTGGTTACTGAAGGAGGCACGCCTGACAAGAAGCTTCTTGGATGAGAAGCAAAAGGTCTTCCAGGAAAAACAAAGAAATCCCAGTTGCCTCTTGAAAAATCCCCATTGGGACTTTGCTGTCTCTTGGTCCTCTGGAATGCAGCCCCTCCCTCCTGGGAATCCAGACTGCATTCCATCCTATGAAGATGGAAGGGGTCAGAGCAAAGAACAGAGTATGATTGCACCAGTCTGTACGGGGATGACCCTAAAGGCTCCTAGCCCAGAACTACCACCAACCCAACCCCAGGCAGATGCTTTTTACCTCCAGAGGCAGATAGGTGTGTTTTTGCTCTTGGCCGACTTGAAGACAGGGCAGGTGAGGGTACTTCAGCTGCAGGTTGTACTTCTGCTTGAAGTATTGTGCAACAGTGCATTCCACAGTTTGTCCGCTCTCCAGCTGCAAGGGAAACCTGTACAAAGAGAACAAGAGTGCCCTTAAGAGACCTAATGCCCACCAATGAAAAGAGGCTCAGCTTCACTCCTCTGAGGCCTCCAGAGCAGAGGTCCCCAACTTTTCGGACCTCAGGGACCACTAAATTCATAATTTTAAATCCCGCAGACCACTAACATGATCTGCCTAATGGCCGGCTGGTGGGCATGGCTAGGTTGTCATGTGACTGGGTGGGCATGGGCAACAATGTCACTCACATTGACGGGCACATCGCCGGCCTCTGCTCGCCACTCCTCGCCTGCCCATTTGGGCTCCTTAGGGCCTTAATAGGAAGCACTTGTTGGAGCTAAGCAGCCACAATGAGAAAAGAGTTGGCAAAACAGCTCAGTTCAAATTGGATCTGACTGAGAAGGAGGCTCAGCAGAAGCACCTCACTGAGGACTACAAGCATAGACTTTCCAAGCAGAGGGAAGACTTACTGGAGTGCAAGGCCAGGTACTGGCACCTGGAGGCTCAGTGGACTGAGATGGTCAGTCAGTTCCAGGCCATGATGCAGTCCCACTGGAACAAAACCCTCTGGCTCTTTGCCACCAGTGGCGTTTCCCTCCANCATATCTAATTATTTGTTCCTTTTTGTACATTATTGGATATGAAAAAGCTTCAATAGTTGATAGCCAGGCTATTAATGGTGAAATCCCAGGAAGTTTTCAGATTTGAGATTTCCACAGTTCATTGCCAACATGTCTGTCTTATTAAATTGGAACTTTAAGGATAGCTCTGCCTTGGACTCTGATTTAATTCTGCATGATATTTGGAACGGTGACAAAGATCATAAGAGAATAATCAATCCCCTTATGTCACCATCTTGACACTGACGCCAGCACTTTCTTGTTAGCCTCAGTTTGACCCGGCTTGTTCTCCCTCATGTAACCTCACAGTTCTAGTATTCTTCTAAATGTCCCCTCTATATATGGTATTAACTAAATGTTTTACAAAGTGCTGCTTGCTTTTATTATGTAAAGTGTAAAAATGGAGTCTCTCAGGTTCTGCTCTTTTACACAAATAACCTTATTTCTCTCAATCCAGCCTTTCCTTTTTGACAGACTTATTCGTGTAAACCATCAGGTATCTCCTGTAACATAATACACACTTCCTGTCTACTCAGTTGTTTTCCACTGTTTACTTTCTTACATTTAGACCCCCGAAAACAGAACATACAACACTTATATCACCTACAGCAAATAGATGCAAATCTGATACAAATACAGGTGATAAGGCATACAACTGTAATGATGATGATCCTGACAAACAGATCCTTTAGCCAAGTGAAACTAGGCATCCAGGAATAGATCCCATATTCCCTTAAAGGCTGTACTTTCACTTACATGTGTTTATGTTATGTAAACATATGTATTTTGGACTCAATAAATTGTGAGCAATCATTAATTTCAAAGCAACACATTCCTTCAAATTCCTCACAACCATGTCCCATCCTCAATAGAATATAGTGAATGGCAACACAGTTTTGCAAAAGAGACTTTCTAATTTCTCCCATTTCATCAGCTAAAGCAGCAATTGCAGATGAGGTTTCATTTATGCTTTTTGCTAAAGCACAAGCAAGATGTCCAAGTTGCCTATGGTCATTATTGTGTAGCGACCCAGGGTATCATCCCTAAGAGTCCAGCTTGTACTTTATTTAATATTAACCACCTCATCACTACAGCCAGCATTATAAGCATCACTTAATGTAGATCTCTTCCCTCTATACACATTTAATTCTTCCGCACTCTNTGCGGCGCTAGGGATTCGAACCACTGAACTGCCAACCTTCTGATCGACAAGCTCAGTGTCTTAGCCAGAGGTGGGTTGATGCCAGTTTGGCCCAGTTCAGCTGAACCGGTAGTGGAAGTCAGACCTGGGTCACAGAACTGGCAGCGACCCAGGCCTGCCACGCCCCCAAACCGGTTCCCTTGCCGCCACTGGGCCGCTGCCATTTTGGATTTTAGTGACTGTGCCTGCGCAGTTCACTGTAAATTGTTCTGCACATGCACGCAAAACAATTTACATTGAACAGTGCCAATGCGCGAGCGAAGCAACCGCCCATACACGTGGTGCACGGGTTGCAAACCGGTAGTAAAACTGGCAGCAACCCACCCCTGGTCTTAGCCACTGAGCCACCGCGTCCCTTCTAAATACATACCAGTTGACAAATGACCAGATTTTGATCAAGCGTCCATGGGGATGCTGCAAAGGTTATAAGTGTGAAACAGCACTTTTTACAATGCTGTTATAACTTTGAAAAATCACTAAACAATGGTTGTAAGCCAAGGATTTCCAGTACCATCAACACTGGTGTGGAGCCTCTCATTTTCCTTGTCTTATCCATTTTGGGTGAGTGTAGTAAACTTGCCGTTCGTGTTCACCAGCCTCTATCCGCACGTATCCTCTATCTGCGAACGCGAAAGGCATAAAGTAGGCAAGCGGGCTTCCCAGCAGCTGATGGGAATCAATGAACAATTAATTACTATCATCAAGTGGGACTCTACTCGGGGAAGACCGCTGGCTTACATTTATCAATTACTAATTAGCCGTCCTTGTCTGGCTGACAGTTGTCTGTCAGCTGGAAGAAAAGCTACAGCGGGTGACTCTCCAAGCAGTTGGATCTTAGCCGTAATTAGCAGAGCTCCACTATGTCTCTGGGGTGTGTGGGGGTGTGTGTGTGCATGTGGAGGTAGCTTTTGCTGTTTTGTTTTGGGCTACTAAATTGTTCCCAAACAAGACTGAGCTCTTTCAATAAGAAAAGTTCTCAGGGCCATCCGTTCCGTTGACTCTGTTCAAGGAGGGTGGGCCATTTCCCTTCCCACCCTACCCAAAGTACTTCCCAGAACGAATTGAGATCCGGACCCTTACTACCCTCCTGGCCTTCCGCAAAGCCACCAAGTCCTGGCTGTTCTAGCAGGCTGGGGGGGGCTGAAAAGCATTTACCTCCACGGAAATTGTGAATGTTGGTTTTGTTTTTAATATGTT